CCCCAACGTCCTCACCTTCAGATGAAGAGGCGGCCTCCTTGTCCTGGTTCTCCTCGCCCTCTTGCTCCCCTGAATCGAAGGAGCTCAAATCCTCTATCTCCTCGCAACACTCCTCCATCACTCGGTAGTCAAGGGATTTGACAGAGGCCTCGTCGTCATAAGGGTAGTACTCTTCGTCCAGGGTCTTCATCTTAAAAACTAACGGAGCCCTAAAGGGAACTACTTTAGATCTAAGGTTGGCTTTTGACTAACACTAGATCCAATCCTAGGGAAGCAAAGTATATAAAAAAGAGGAGAAAAGTTTCATGAACTGACCTTTGAAGTTTTGAAGAACACACGAACAAGCCTTTATCTCTCTAGAAATTTGGGCAACGCTTCGTTATCTCAGAATGTAATAGGGAGTTCCTTCGGAAGGAGGGGGTATTTATAGACCTCCCCTCCCAACGGTCACTACACGTGGCACTCCCCCATTGGCCACATGAACGACCACCACTCCCAAGGCCCAATAAGCTGCCACCGGTTCAGAAGATAGGCCAGGCCCACTTCCATCAATACCAGTCCATTGCCAACGTACCGGCAGTCAGCATCCATAACGGTCAAGGCATTCAACGGCCACACCAAGAAGAAATATCTGCCTCCACAGGGCACGACTACATCGGCCCTAGAAGCCAATAATCATTTCAACGGCTGGTCACACCACAAAGTGTGCCCATATCGGCTTCACACGCTGCCAACAACAGGGCCCCTTCAACAGCCACAACATCAAAGCAAAAAAAAAACCAACAACCATCGGCCTTGTATAAAACCCTGATGATAACTTCTTGAAAGTGACCTGCGTCCAAGGGTTTTCCCACAGGGTTACCTTGGTCAGGAATCGCCAAGGGGTTGGATTCAGGGGAATACAAGGATCCCGCTTCGGCCTAGGGTTACTCCTTCACCCCTCGCTCCCTCTTCGGCCTAAAGCAGTGGGGGACTGGGGGACTACACCGGCCTCTGGAATACAAGAAAGGACAAAATCAAAAATCCAAAAAACACACCAAGTCCACAGCTACAACATTAGGTCATACAAGCACCATAACGTGCATGACCTTGTGGTGCACCTTCGGCCGCAACAAAGTTCGCAAACAAAGAAGTATAACTCCTCCCAAAACGTGACGCGTGTCGTCCCTTGACGCGCGCCACTCAACGGCTTTGAGATCACGTACTCCACTCTCGGCCAAAATGAGAAAACAGGAACACAACGTCCTCGGGTCATCATCGTCCATAAGATCAAAATTGTAAGTCCTTCTGAGTCAGCGCCGCTATCGTCATCAAAGATGGACACCAAACTATGAATATCACCGCTTCGGTCTGAAGCACGAAAGCAATCATGAGGCCTCCTCGGCCAAGACACCAAAAGCAACCGCCAACAACCAGAAAGAAGAAACGTCACCCACATAGGCTATTCAAATCAAGAGCACATATCGGTCACTGAGCCAGGACACTCATCGTCCTCAAACAAACAAACTTACCCCATCAGAGGAACATCAGTCTTCTTCGTCCTCAAACAATTATTTTATTTTATTCGTAGTTGTAAATTTAATAAGTACAATTTGCGTCCTGTATAAAACAACAACACAAAATAGCCCAGTGGCCGCGCAGCGCTGCAGTTTGCCTATGCTCCTTCCCACCCAGGATTGATTCCCCCCTCCTTTGGAATTCTTAAAATTTTATGTTTTTGTTTAGTGCAGACTCTTTGCTTTAATTTTTCTTCAGCAACAAAAGTTTCCCACACCGGTTAAAGTTGAGACTTTACTCCTCATACCTTCCTATATGTTCGCCCCCTTTGGAGTTGAATCCAAGCAGGTGGCTAAAGATGCTCAAGAGGTCTTAGTAGCTACCGAATTAGTCAAATATTTTAATAGAATGAGATTTAATTCAAATTTCATTCGGTTTTTACCAAAACCGAAAAACCGAACCGAAGTTTCGGTTTCCAATTAATTGGGTTCCAAATATATTTGGTTCGGTTTCGGTTACACTTTTTGTCAAACCGAAAAAATTGGTTCAGTTTGGTTTTTCTCATATTCGGTTCGGTTACCGAACCGAATCCAGCCCTACTCTCCCTCACTTCGTCTACATCTCATCTCGGAGAGTGGGGGACTCCTGATGGAGTATATGGGTCTAGACCCCAGGACCCACATACTCAGAAGAATAAGAGGCACAACTATCACCCAGTGGGGCTTCCGTCGGCCAGATGGCCCTCCATCGGCCAGAAAGATATCAACTCAGAACATGGTCCAGAAGCCAAGAGAACCAGGTGTCCTCGTCGGTCGGGTCTCCGTTGGCCATGGCTCCGTCGGCCAGGCCCTCGTCAGCCACAGAGAGCTCCCAGAACCGGACTTCACACTTAATTACTTCTACATATTTTGTACTCAACCCAATAGTGTCCCGATTGTAAACGGGGCTCCCAAGCCCAAGACTTGGGAGCCCAGCCCTAATTTCCTATATAAATACTCCCCTTGGGAGTAGTTGTAGGGGGTTCACAAATCATTAATAGCAAGAACTTATTGCACTTCTCTCTCTAGCTCTCACTTCTCTCTAGGAGTTAATACTCCATCAGTAGTCTTTATTTCTTTGTTTGTATTAATCTTTATTTTCTCTCTCTTCTGTTTGGTGCTTTACAAGAAGAGTAAGTTAATGGAAAATATTTTTCCTTTTCTCTTAAATTATTTGTGTAATGATCCAAACCTTATTTCTGCAGTTTTTAAGTTGATTTCCATTTTTAATCAAGAGACTATGTAAATTCTAATTTAAATGAGTAATCAATGACATTCTTTAGGTGGTATAGTTTGTTGTGCAGATAATATAATACAGACATATTTACATGGAAAGTTCCAAAATTATAATCCAACTATCTTTAAAAATCGAGTTACGGTTGAACGATCAAAAGTGTTACTTTAATGAAAGTCGAAAGAGTAAATATAGAAATTTTCAAAGACAGATACCAAAAGTGTTTTTTCAACTAATAGTTTACAGACTAAAAGTGAAAAAACTCAAAGTCGAGTACCAAAAGTGTCTTTCAAGCAATAGTTTAAAGACTAAAAGTGAAAAATAACAAAGTCGAGTATCAATAATGTAAGTGACATAATAGTTAAAGAACTAAAAATGACAAAACTCTTGCAGATTCACTGTATGGCTCGTGCCATTTTGTGGATGCTAATTGCTAAATAGGGGCTGCTTTAAATACTTTTGTTGTCATCATTTCTTTCTCTTTTGTGATTTTCCGATCACTTAACTTTGTTTCATTAACAACTTGGGGAGTGTTTGAGAATGTTTGAAAATGCACCTTTTTAGCTTTTTACTTAAATAAATTGAAAATCGAGTTTTAGGGTTTCTATTTGAAGTTCATCAATTTAAAAAAATCAAAAGTGAAACTTAGGAGTGCTTATGAATGCTTGAAAATATACATTGTCTCTTATTTCATATCACTAGTAATACTTGCACTAACAATTGATGAGGTGGATAAGATTAATTATTACTTGCTCGCACAAATACCATCAAATATGACAACATATTTAAGCTTTGATTCAACATCACTATCTGACTCTAATAGTAGTTTATTACAAGACATCCCCTCTCTAGAATCCGTAAGTGGAATCTTATTTTATGGAGTTTGTAGCCATGACATCAAACTAAAAGTGAGTGTCCTTGTGATGCTTGTGAGGATTCTAGATCAATCATTCAGTTTGTGCAATAGTACTCGACTATTAGTGACACGACTTGGCAAATGAGGCCCAAAAGTTGCCATGGCCAACTGCATGTTAACTTCCGGTGTAAGCAATTTCCTTTGCTGGTTAGCTATGTGATGACGATCAATATGAGTCATGGTCAGTCGTTGAAAATGTGGGGATATTTTACGACGATCGGTTTTCGCGCATTAACAACTTTACGTCGTTGTGTCTAGAGTCAAAAGTCCAACTGGTATAAATTTTTTGAGATATGACAATAAACGTAGAGCGACAATCGACACATTCGATGTTGTGTATAAAGAGCTCTTATCAATTTGCAATGTTAAATTGTATCTTAATTAAAAATCATAGCCTTTTAATTCAAACTCAAAGGCAAATGTTATGGAGTCTTTAGAAAGATAATTACAGTACTATCAAATAAAATATAATAACTTTTCATCCCGTATAACGCACGGGTGAAAAAACTAGTTTTCTTAATATAAATGATGAAACTTGTAATGAGACATCATGTTTACTATGAAATTTGTTAACGTGATAAGAGATGTAGATTCACCCATTTTAGGTTTGCAGAATCTACACTTTTATCACGTCAATATTGTCACTAGATTTACTCATGATTACCCTAATCAATTTTTAATATGTTTGAAGTTACGTATCAACATTTTTTATGAGTGCACTAGTAAGTGTTATAATTACTCTTTATCTCTGTACAAATCATTGTTTCCCATAATTGTTGAGAGACTAATTAACACATATTATAACTTTATAAAAGTAGATATCTTTAATCCATTCGTATTTTAATTACTCCGTATAATTTATTATACTTCCTCTGTTTTCTATTAACCGTTTTCTGTTTTCTATATTTTTGATTACTTGTCTCTCTTTCTCACTTTTGTAAATTTTTTCTATAAAAAAACTTCTTTACCTTCGATCTTATTACCCTTATTTTTTATTTTTTACACATTGTTTTCTCTTTCCTATAATTTTATTACTCCATACTTTTCTTTTCTCATTATAATCTCTTTCTACTTTTCCATTCACCTTACATCCTCCTCTGTATTATCTCTACTACTTTCGTCTTAATAACCGTTAAAATCTAAGGAGACACTTATTAGAAAACGAAGAGAGTATAAAATACATAGAAATATTCATTGTAAATTTGCAAGTTTTTTTTTTTGTTGAGAAAGTAAATTTGTAAGTGTTAATTTAGGCTTATTTATTTGGAATCTTAACCCATCAATTGAGATCTATAAACTAGCGTTAAAAGTAAGAGTGGAGTATATTTTATAAAACTTTGAATATTTTATGTTTGGGGTGGCGAGCTTTTAGAACTGGTCCGCATATTTTTGAGTCTTTTGTTGAGATTTCAATATCTTTGGGGGAAGCGGACACTTTCTTTCTGGGGGCACTTTTGAGGTGGGGATACCAGCTTTTTGCTCTCACTGTTTCTATGATGTGTTGCGCTCGTTTTGCTCTCTCTCATTCCCTCTTTCTCTTCTCCTTTCTTCTCAGAGCTTGGACGGTAAATCGAGCCTCTGCGCAGGCACGTGATCTGAATCTACCAGGCCTTTGAACAACATCCTGCCGGGCCATTTCTAGGTCTGGGTTCGCGCTATTTCTTTTGGAGAAGCGCTTTTCGATCCGGAGGAACTTAGACAAGGGTTTTATGTGGTGTCTGGGGGAGATTTAACGAATGTGCGGTTTTCAACTTTTGACCTGATTTGGGAGGAGACTGGGAATTGTTTGAAGAGGTTATTGGGGCTACTGTTTGAAGGGTTGAAGTGGGCGGATGGATAAAGGTGGGATTTCAGAAGATTTTAATGATATCTGTGTTTGAGTTTAGGGTTGTATGAAGATGGGATTAGGAGGTGATGATGCAAAGGTGGAGAGGGTGAAGGCTTGGAATTTGGAGAAATCAAAGCGGGGGAGTAACAACGAGGAGGATGATTCTGGAGAGTTGAGTTCGTGTTGGATTAAGTTCAGGTTTTTTTCCTGTTGTATCTCTTCAAGATCTAAGGTTGATACCTCCATCAGTGGCATCAGTACTAACTGTGGTATAATTTCATGCCCTGTTATCTGCTCATTTTAATTACTCCCTCCAATAAAGATCCCTTTGTTGTCTTTTTGTGTTTGTAAAAGCCTTATCATGTATGTTTTGCTTTTTTCCCTCAATGCTTTTCATTTATTTAGCATAAAACCAATTCCTATACGGACCTTAAACTGTGATGCCCATTTTGTGCCATTAGTCTTTCTCAAATCCATCAATTGTTTTAGAAATTAAAGGATTTCCTTATAAGTAGAGATGAAAGATCTGTTGTAGGAGGATCAAGAAGACGGAAAATGAGGTGAAATGTCGTGTACTCTCTGTTCAGCATTTTAGTTTAGTGCTATTGACCAGATACTCTGATCTTTAACCCTTGTGTTCAATTTCTGTTCTTCACAGACTTACCAAATAGCAATTTTCAAGGATACACTGAACAGATTCAAGCTATATTTTTGAAAGTTATGTGTTCCATTTTACTAAAATCAGTCACCCAAAACTGTTCAAGTTCCAATTTTGGATAACTTTTTTTTCCTGAAGGACACACTAAGTACAGTGGCACCAATTTTATGCTAGGTCTCTAGGCTTTATTAGCCCATCTACTTATTTGCAGTGTTTCTTATAGAGGCTTGACATATTACAATACCTAGTTACCTACAAATCTACAATAAGTGCTTCCTCTATGTGATATGTCCGGCTTCTCATTTGGTTGAATTAATTTGTTCCTACATGGCTCCATTTTAGTTTGTTTTTCTTTGACCTCCTTCTTGGACCTGTTGGAATGTTTTTATTACTAAAATTACATTGCATGTCCGATTTTGATTCTTACTGTTTTCTTTGGTGTACTTGGGCTTGTCTGCCTCTCATTTGCTGACAGCGTGACATATTAAGCATTTTATCAAACATAAACTACAATCAGGAATTATTTGTGGATCTGTAAGTTTTTCTCCCTTTTTTGTTGACAGAAAGTAAATGTGCAAATGATACGAGTGTGGGAACAAGTGTAGAACAACCTGCTGCTCCAGTGATTTCTTCCTCTGCTACAAGTATTGCAGAAAGCAGTTCATCTACTGCCAAACTTGAAGAGGAACTAAAGATATCATCCCGGCTTAGAAAGTTCACATTTAATGACCTGAAATTGGCAACAAGAAATTTTAGGCCAGAATCACTTCTTGGGGAAGGAGGTTTCGGATGTGTCTTCAAGGGCTGGATTGAAGAAAATGGAACAGCACCAGTAAAACCAGGAACCGGACTTACTGTCGCTGTCAAAACTTTGAATCATGATGGGCTTCAGGGTCACAAAGAGTGGCTGGTCATTTTCTTCTTTATTCTAAGTGAACCATCTTCTACAATCTACATATATATTTTTCATTTCTCACACCGAATTGGTTCATTTGGCAGGCTGAAGTGAATTTTCTTGGTGACCTTATTCATGCTAATTTGGTGAAACTCGTTGGTTACTGCATTGAGGATGACCAGAGGCTTCTTGTTTATGAATTCATGCCTCGAGGAAGCCTGGAAAATCACTTATTCAGGAGTGAGTAGCTATTCTTGTTGAACTAATATCCCCTTGCTTTTCAATTTTGTTCAAGATCGTTCCTCAATCTTCATTAGTCTAACCAATTACAGGAACCCACCAACCAACTGTTCTGAATAAATGTGTGTACAAAAGTAAAGGTTTCTTTGGTTTTACAAAATTAGGAGAGATGGAATCTATTTGGGAACTCATGTTTTTGGTTGTTTGGGAGAAGGGAGAAAAGAGAGGAGAGGTAAAAGAAGTGGTAGGACAGTTGCAAAATTGTAGAAAAAATTGTCCCATAATTAATGAAATGATGCATATGCCCTCTAATTTATACATTATACTCCGTACTAGATTATTAATGATGCATTTGTCATTACACCGGACATTCATTTTTCTTTCTTCCCCACCTCTTTACTATTTCTGTCAATTCAAACTACCTAAAAAATCAACTCACTTTCTCTTCTCCCCTACTTCTCTTTCCTATTCTCCTAGTCCAACAAAGCATAAAAGATCCAATCCCTTCACCTTTCTCCTTCCATAAATTTTAAATCAATGATGTGGTACACATTTATTCATGAGAATATGTTTCCCTATCACAGTGTATGATAACTTTAAAGTTAATGTGGTTATGTTTCATTATTGATGTGGCATTCTGTTTTTATATGTAGGGTCCTTGCCTCTTCCATGGTCTGTTAGAATGAAAATTGCTTTAGGTGCTGCAAGGGGGCTCACTTTTCTTCACGAGGAAGCAGAAAGGCCAGTCATATACCGCGATTTTAAGACATCAAACATCCTATTAGATGCTGTATGTGTTCATTTGCGGTCATCTCATTATGTTTGACTTGCACGATATTTTGCCATAGGAAATCTTAAGTTGTTGACAAACGCAATGAAAGTCAAACAAGTAAAATCTCCTATGTCAAAGTATCATACATGTCAATCTCCTATGTATTGCGGAACAAATCATGTCAACCATATATTCCCTCCGTTCTGCAATATTTTGCCATGGTTGATTGGCATGAGAAATAATGAAGTGAAAATGGTTAGTCGAGGTTTATGTAGAGAAGAGAGTAATACGTAGTAATATAAAACACAGATTTAATTCGTTTAACAGAAAGTGGCCCACTTGTTGGTGCAGCTAAATAAGGGAAGTTGGCAAAGTATTGCGGGGCAGTAGGAGTTTATGAAAAGTTCATTCTTTAGTTACATATGATTTGCTCTGATAAAAATATATTCCAGGATTACAATGCCAAACTTTCTGATTTTGGACTTGCCAAAGATGGGCCAGAGGGTGATAAGACACATGTGTCTACTCGTGTTATGGGAACCTATGGTTACGCTGCGCCAGAGTATGTGATGACAGGCAAGTAATGTTACTTAGATGATAAATGTAACATGATCATTTATATCTCTCTTTTAAATTGTCAATACCGATTCGACTATGGTTGCAAAAGCTTTAGCACCTTTCAGTACTTTCAAGTTGAAACCTTAAGAGTTAAGAGGACATGAAACTCGGAAATATGGCCCACTGTGAAACACAAGTAACATTAGTATCTGCTTGACTTAATGCCTTATATGTAGTACCACTAGTACCTAAAAAGTATTGAAAACATCTTGGAATGTAGAGTACCAGCTTTATAGTTGATCTATGAAAGCACGCCTCAAGACTTGCATCGTGTAACTAAAGTAGAGCATACTCATCCCTCATTTCATGCTGTTTGTGAAGGGAAAAGGGATATAAATGCGTCTATAATACACCTACAGACTACTGTTGAAGAAGATATGGGCATGATGATAAATGAACTGATTTTGAATATTCAGATTGAAGCATTTTTCTTTGATTATTTAAGATAGTTGAATAGTCAATGAAATTTGAAAAACTGTGTTGTACTCATTATGGTGAACTGCACTTAGTCTTTGTGTTCTTGCATGACTTTCAAACATGCTTGGGTTTTAATGTCATTTATTTAATGTTGTGTATCAAATTATCAATTCATTCAATTGCAAAATTGTTTGACTTTGCTCTTCTGGTAAAATTTTACATTTATTGTACATCATTATGCTATTAGGACCTGGCCAGACCTCAATATAAGGTCCCACTATTTTATACCCGCTGTCTCCTAAAAATGTTCATGTTTCAACAAGACAATCTGATTTTTCATGGTATTTTCCAAAACAAACAGTCAAACACGTTATATATGATACCTTTAGCAAATATTGAAACAACAAAGTTGGGTTAGGCACTTATGCTGTAGTGTTGACTGGGTGAGGGCTTATAAGGATTGTCGTGTTGTACCTCGCAAAAAAGGCTGTACACAGGTAACATAAGACTTTCTTTTTTAGACAAGGTAATAAATTCTTGGTAAGTTTACTTAGATAGGATGCACTTTTTCCCATTGTGAAAAAATACTGCATGATGAGCATCTACTGGTTGCATTTTTTTTTTCAAATTGTTTATATATCTTATCCTGATTGAATAGTCTTTTTTATTTTATTTTGGGACCTCTTTTAGGTCATTTGACATCAAAAAGTGATGTCTACAGTTTTGGAGTAGTTCTGCTCGAAATGATTACAGGTAGACGATCAATGGACAAAAACCGGCCTAACGGGGAGCATAACCTCGTGGAATGGGCAAGACCGCATCTTTGTGAGAAAAGGCGGTTTTACCGGCTGATAGATCCTAAGCTTGAAGGGCATTTTTCTATAAAGGGTGCCCAGAAAGCAGCACAATTGGCTGCTCGGTGCCTCAGCCGGGACCCAAAAGCTAGACCCATGATGAGTGAAGTGGTTGAAGCCTTGAAGCCTTTACCAAACCTGAAAGACATGGCCAGCTCGTCCTACTACTTCCAGACCATGCAATTAGCTGATCGCACAACTGCGTCCAGCCCAAATGCTAAAAACAGCGTTAGAGCTCAACAGAATGTGTTCTCAAAGAACGGACAGCAAAACCAGAGGAGCCTTTCCGTACCAAATGGTTCTCATGCTTCACCATATCGTCAGTTTTCCCACAATTCGCCAAAACCAAATGCTAAAGCATAGGGATTGGCACTGGCAGGCAACCCTTTTCTGTACTGTTCTTTTCATCGTTATCAAAGGCAAAAAGAAAAAAGAAAAAAAAGAACAGATTTTTTATGTTGGTACTGCTATTTTTGAGTGTTGAAGCACTTGAAGCCCTTCCTTTCCTCTGGAGAAGAATGTAATTTAAAATTTTAAACAGAGCAGATTCATGTGGAATTGTGGAGTAAATATTGATTTGTAAAATACATCTGCTCTTACTCTCTCTGCTGATGTATCAAATGCTTCCATAGTTGATATTCTATGATCGCTTTAACTCTTCTGTTTCGATATGTGCATTTGTATGGTTCATTCTAGGATCATTCGTTCCAAATAGGGATGGAGTCGGGCCGGGCCTGGCCGGGCTTTTTTGGAGAATTGAGGCCTGGAATCGGCCCAGGTACCTACCGGGTCCGGTTCGGGCCGGGCTACCCGGCCGGGTAGCGGGTCGGGTGTAGGCCGGGCCGGGCTGGGCCTTGTTCGGGTAATTTTTTTCAAATTAATTCAAGAATTGTTGGATATAAAAAAGTTAAAGTATATTTATTTGAAATATGTGATACAATTGAGAATTGAAAAAAATGAAATACATTTTCTAATAAATAATAATCAATTGGAATCTCCGCTATCTTCGGTTGTTTCCCCCATAAAGTGGCAGGTGGGGGTGATGCACACTTCTTGAGTTCTACGTTTCGCCTTCAACCAATCGTGGAAGCAAACAAGCGTCTCAAGAGAGTTCGTGCTCAATCTCGTTCTATAATCTGTTGGCACATTGGCGGCCGCACTAAATTCTTGTTCCATGGCAACTGTTGATACCGGCATTGCTAGCACTGGCTTAGCCATCTTTGATAAAATCGGGAACGTTCTTTCTTTTTCCTTCCACCACTTTAGAGCGTCAAAGTCATCTCCTTCATAATCAACATGAAATGTTAGATACAAAGAAAGCTCGTTAATCGAGCTTTGTTCATTAACGAGAGTTGATTTACTTTTTTTCATAAGATTGCCAAGTGTAGATTTAAAAAATGATTTTTCTTTAGATGAAGAAGATGTTCGTGCCAGGAGAGGGGATGCGTTACAATATTGTGCATGAACCTCATTAAATAAATGATATAATAAATTACTTACCTCTTGGAATTCTTGTTCAAGGTCTATGGCCTTATCGTTGTACATAGGCAATGGTTCTCCCAACGCGGTGAAGAAAAAGTGCAACTGTTCGCACTTTGCCTATATATATATATATATATATATATATATATATATATATATATATATATATATATATAGGGAAGATATCAAATAAAAAGAGGTTCTCCCGTGCAAAGTGCGAACAGTTGCACTTTTTCTTCACCGCGTTGCACTTTTGCGTGTTTCTGTTGCACTTTTTCGCGGTGGCAAAAAATTTCGTTTTAATAACGAAATTGCCACCGCGTTTTTGATCAAATTTAGTTCACTTTTGGCTCATTTTGAACCATTAGATCTGGAAATGAATGCACGAGATTAATTCTCACTTTGCATGGGAAGATTTCTTTGTATTTGAACCCTCCCCTATATATATATATATATATATATATATATATACTTAATATATGTATTTATAAGTAGATAATAAGTATATAAGTATATATAATAATTGTTTAACTAAAATATAATATAATATTTATAGTATATAATATATAGGTATATTACTATAAGAGTATAAGATGAGTAATACACTTATATTTAATACTTTAATATATATAAGTATATATTAAGTAGATGTAATATGTAAATGTAAGTAAATAACAATAATATAATAAGTAGATAATAAGTAGATATTAAATAAATATGAAGTATATATAAAGTAGATAATAAGTATATATTAAGTAGATAATTAAATTTTAGTAATATAATATATGTATTTATAAGTAGATACTCGTATAATAATTGTATAAATATATGTAGAGAGAATTGAAGAAGATGAAGATGGAGATGATTAAGAATATTAGAGAATAGAGAGTAGGAAGATATGAAAAAGATGTGTAGAAAATTGTTTAGAAATTAGGAGTATTTATAGTTTTTTTATACCCCACTCCCACCCCCCACCCCCAAACCCCCCGGACCCCCTCCTAGCCCTCCAACGGCTATATAGCCGTTTGGGAGTGTTCCCAACAGCTAAGAGGAGCTGGGGATGCCTTGATTTAATTAAAAAAGTTAAAAATTAAAAATATGGCCGTTGAGGGACTTGAGGCCCAGACCGGACCCGAACCGGCCGGGCCGGTTCGTGATTTAGGAGACCCGGGAACCGTCCCGTGACAGTACCGGGCCGGGTGGCCCGAACCGGCACAGACCCAGGTACCAAATATGTTTTCTTTCATGCACTTTCTTGTAAATTTTAGTGACTTTGTCTTCCTTTGTTGGAGTATTCTACTTGGTTGGGTATGATTGTATGAAAGCTGAAATGTTCAGAACATTTCAGTTTGCTACTCGGCTGTAAAAGCTGGTGTTAGATGACACCTTGTCATTGTTTCTACCTATACATTTTTTTATTGAGTAAGATTAAAAAGAAGGGTAAAATTCATAAGTAGGACTCCTCTAATGCTTATTTGAGTATAAATTATTCTTTTAATAGGACTCAATAATCCTTATTTGAGGAATTATGCCCGTGTTCTGGATCATTATTGAGCAAGTTTACATTTTATTTGGGAAAGGGTTCATATTGACTCTTTCTACTATTCTTAATTCATCAATTAATAAAACAATCACACAAGTTTGGGATATTTTAATTATTTTTCCTTTAGTTTTTTTACATTTTCATTTATTTTTGGAATTTTCTAATTTTAATTTTTCTTAGTTTTTTAAATTATATATCTATTTCTTACATTTTAAATATTTTTACTTTTCTATTGCTATGTTTTTATGATTTATATGTTTTTTAATTTTTTTTAATTATTCTTAATTAATTTTTCTTTTTAAAAATAACTTGTTATAGCAGGTCAAAATGATTGAATTGATAATGTGTTTATGCGATAGTTTTTTATATAAGGATTCAAATAGTGGACTTAAAATAGTAGAATGGTTTATTTGAACTGTTTGAGTTAAAACTATGTCACTGTTACTTACCATGAAAGCCCTCCACAAACCGAACAGACAACTATTTGAAAGAATGTAAATTGAGCTTTGATTTTACTTAATGAAAAGACAGTGGAGTTTTATCTTAATTAAGTCATTAATTGAATTTGAACGTGGAACATCTTCTTGTGTCACCCTCTTCTTGCCAAGTGACACGCCCCCCGGTAACTTTAAGCATTACATTACTAACCTATGAGTCTATGACCGACGGTTGTGTAGCAGTGAGTGGCGCACTTATAAGAGGTTTATTGACTAGATGGGGAAAATTATACCGTGCAACCGGCGCACCATGAGGATGGTGCGCCCGGTTGCAAAAAGATGGAGTATGCTGGTTTTTTTGCTTTTGTTGTTAAAAATGATAATAACTTTTTTATTTTTGATCCGATTTTTATAAAATTTATTTCAACATTTTTTTTCATGATCTTTCAAATGAGACCAATATTGCTTATGTAATTTTAAGAAATTATTGAACTATTATATTAATGAGTATTGTATTATAAGGAAAATCGAATCTGTTTGGGAGATGATAGGTTTGTGAAATAGAAGATCGAATCTGTTTGGGAGTGGATCAGTGACCTCAGTTACATTTGATAATACATTGAGTTACATCTTTTTATGAGCGAGTTACATCTTTTTATAAGCAAGTTACATCTTTTTATAAGCGAGTTACATATATATACACATGAGTTGCATTTGATATGCCTGAACGCGAGTTACATATATTTACACGTAAAGTTACATATTTTTACACGTAAAGTTACATATTTATACACGCGAGTTACATATTTTTACACACGAGTTGCATTTGACCTGTCTGAACGCGAATTACATATTTTTTTACGTAAAGTTACATATTGTTACACGTAGAGATACATATTTATACACACGAGTTGCATTTGGCCTGACTGAACGTGAGTTACATATTTTACACACGAATGTTAATATGTTAAAATTACATAGGCAATATTGGTCTCATTTGAAAGATCATGAAAAATAAAAAATGTTGATATAAATTTTATAAAAATCGGATCAAAAATAAAAAGTTATTACCATTTTTTTAAAAAAGAGAAATAAAAAATAATGAATTCAATACTCTGCTTGCCAAAAACGTATGACGGTATACGGTGCTCACCGTATACTGTGCTCACCGTATACGGTGCTCACCGTATTTCGGTCATACGGTATACCAACTGACTAGATGGCCAGTGATGGGGCAATTTCGCTGAGGCCCCTGGGGTTGTGCTCCCTGACAATAGTGACCATAATAAATATAGTACTCCGTAATATTCTTCTGAAAATTTAATTTTAGTAATACATTTGACAAAACCTTTTCACTTAAATTAGTGCAATAAAGCCCATTTTAAGTAATCCAATATATTCAAGTCCTACTCGAATTTAAGGGTGGGCATAAAACCCGAACAGAACCGGTACCGAACCGTCCTGTAATGGTACCGTACCGAATATCGGGTATTTAAACGGTTCTATAAATTTTTATCCCGTATCGAAACCGTATCGTTTGAAACGGGTACGAGACCGGTCCTAGATTTTGAGAACCGAAAAATACCGAACCGAACCGTTCGAAAATAATGCATTTGAATTTTTTATATTTTTTCTATATCAATAGATCTCTTTTATATACCACAACAATTTTATACCCCAAATATGTATTCATGTGTCCCTAAGATATCTAAATGTGTTGTTTATATATATTGTTATTTTTTCTTTTTAGATAAATGTGTTGTTTATATATATATATATATATATATTGTTATTTTGTCTTTTTAGATAATTTATGCTATATTTTGGTATGTATTGAAAGAATATTAAAATTTTAGAAATCATTAATGATTATTTATTTCTAGTAATGTAGTGTACATGACTTTTTGTTGTATCATGTTTGTGCAATTTTTACAACTTAATTAATATGGTTTAAATCTTAGCTCTCAAGGTTCAACTATAAATTAAATGAGAACTAAGGATTAATATTTAACCTAGAACGAAGAAGAAGAACATTGAAGATTTCTATTATATTCAAGAATTTGATGATATTCATTTTTATATTTTCACATTAACTTAGTAAATTAAAAATGATATTTATCTCGTCCGTCATCATTTTGCTCTTCTTTTTCTTATTTGGGTTGCACTATTTGTGTATTTGTGAATTTTAGTACTACGTATGCAATTTCTT